CTCTAAAACACAACTGTACTTTGACTCCGTATTCCTGGAAATATGTTTCAAACTGAAGATGTTGGGAGTGTTGAAAGAGCAACCCAACCTTGAACCCAAAGCACAGAAGGAGATCCTGCATTCAAACAATAACTAAAGAGAAAATGCATTCAAAGGTTTTTTGGGGGTTAATTTCAAAATCCTATTCTTCAAATAAAAAGTAACAAACCAAAACATGCATCTCATATTAATCTGACAAATGTTACTATTCCTCTATCAAATACTGATATGCGCCAAATCATTTTACAGCAATTTCATAGGATTTCTGTTGGCTATAATATTTCAATTATTCCTTGCCTTGATGAGAATCTCACTCAAAAAATATCAAGAACCCCTCCGTCCTCTTGCCTATGGGGATTCTCAGTCATCCAAGTCATGGCTGTCCCAAATGTGTTTCTTCAAAAGGCAATTAGACTTGTTTTTCTTGGAAAACGAGCCCAGTTGCCTTTTGGAAAAGCACCTTGGAGACACCTCATCCTCTTGTTTGTTCTGTAACCACTCTAATTTCTTACATTAAAGACTTTATTGGGAGGGGTGTATTGAAATTTGAAGTCCGAAACATCTGAAGTGTACAAAGGTATGTATACTACAGGTCCATACAATCTTTTAAAATGATTCTTATACATGTATACTACTGAGAAGACTACATTACGAATAGGAAATATAGCAAATCTCTACTCTTTCAGCATATAGGCAGAAATTATCTTTCTTTTAGTTTTCTGGAGTGCAATCTGTTAGAAAATCACAATGAATCCCCATGTGAACAATGTTTCAAGTAGGGATACACAGAACTGCCAATGTTGGTTTTTGTCATTCTTCATTTCTATGAATACATCCTTTCAGTCCTTAATTTCCTAGCCTAAATATGTCAGGCTTTTGAAACTTGAGAATTTTGTAAAGGTTGTATTGAAGCCCATTTATATTGTGTGTACATTTTTTTTCCATACAAGCAATTCTTCCTATTCTATTTGGTTTTTGCTAATATTTAAATACAATGCATTCTTTCATGTATATTGCCTTTTAGGGAAATCTTTTGCTAATGCAAAATTTAATTGCTGCATTGTAATGTTTTAATTTTTGCTTTGCAAAAGTTAGAGATTTGTGAATTTTTAACTAACTTTTGCTTGAAGTAGTGGTTAAATTAGCTAAATTTTTATTCAAAAACACATTAAACCAATTTCTCTACCTCCTTAGTTGAACTAATCACCATGAGTTAGAATAAAAATGAGGCAGTTTGTGGGTTCGGTAATTTCATCTAACCTTCTGAAAGCTGAATCTTCAAGTAATATAAACAGCCTCAAATATAATTTAAAATAAGGGATGTGAAGCAAAACTGAAACACATTGTGGTTGTAGTACAATGTGTGGAATCAACCACTGGATGCTGAAGTACATCTTTTTCCATTTGTAGATTAAGAGCTTCTATTAATTCTCATCTAGAAGTGAAGAAAGAAAAAGCTTCTTGTCTATAAGCCTTCAAAAGAAGCCATGCTGTGGCCACCAAGTTAGAAAATCAGTTTTCTGGTTGTAAATATCCATACACATATCTTTCATTAATGCACCTGAAAGCCTGCCAAAGTGGATGCAATATCTCTTTTATATATCCTTTTTCCATCTTGGACAATTACTTAGGCAATATTTAAAACTGAAATTCATGATGTCAGGATGAGCACACAATGAGATAGCTACCACTGAAATGAAGAATGCAGCAAGCAGGTGGCTTTTTCCAGATTTTTTTTAAAAAATAGACACTCCACAGAGTTTCTATTTCTAAGATTTTGTATAGAAGTTTATCTACAATAATAGGAAGAATAAGGAAGGGAGCTCAAAGTGAAAGTAGATATTATGCTGTCAGTGTCCGATTTTAACAGGGCTTAAAAATATTTAAAATGCTAATAAAACCATGAAAGAATAAACATAAGATCATTAATAAAAAAACTAAATAACCACAATAGTTTATTATACACAAAATTGGCCATATCTCTGTCTTTCCATAAAGTTAATCCATCATCTTTCTGTTGAATAACATGGCAGAAGATTTGTTTGCTGGCTCAGATGGAGAAAGACGAGAAATGTAGAAGACACTCAACTGTGTCTTTGCTTCTTAAGATACTATAATTTGAAGATTCCAAGTGAAACCTGATTAACATCACTATTCACAGTATTTCTCCTGGTTTTCATGCAGAGTTGTGGGCTTCAGAAATCCCAGAAATGTTTTGTGTGATAGACTGAATGTTGTTTTTAAAATGCCACCTGCTTCTGAAAACAAACCCCGCTGAGTTTCAAACCTGTGTGTTTTGAAATTTTACCCTATGTATATCGTGGCAAAAGCCAATGAAGTAATTCTCATTACTTTACAATTTCTTTTAATGATAGAAAAAGTAACAGAAACAAAGTAATAGCTTTAAAGGCATCTGTGCCTGTAGGTTTCTGATGGACCAAGAAACAGAATTTGAAACATTAGCTATCATTAAGTGCTATTACCATGGTATGGTAAGCTAGAAGAGAAGCAACTGAAGTGCACACTCCCAGATGGTCTTTAAAAGGAATTATGCACTTAATTGCTTCAACTACATGACTCCAGCATAAATAATCTACAAAATAATTGTGGTTTCTTGGGTAAATAAACATGGGAGCATAATAATCCATATGTTTTCCTTAAACTCATAACCAGTTGAAAGTTTTCCCAAAGAAATATTAAAGTTGATAATAGAAGAAATAGAAACTCACTCACTCTGTGTTTGTGTGTGTGTGTGTATTTGTGTGTGTTTATGTGACCACATTGAAAATATAAGGAAATTAAAAAATATAAAGAAATGAATCAGAACTTACTGTAGAAAGAATACTATTCATGTTCTAATCCAAGACTTCTCATGTAGTTAATCAATTCAATTACTTTTTTTTAATAGGAAGACATTTATTGTGTCCTTGAAAGAAAGCAACATTTTCTTCCATAACGTTTCTACCATTTGGGAGGAAAATAATTAAAAAATCTCAAAATGTTTCCTGTTTGTTTTAATTATCTAAGACATGAAAGACTTGGTTAGTAATAGTAGTAAAGTTGGAAGGGACCTTGGAGGTCATCTAGTCCAACCCCCTGCTCGGGCAGGAAACCCTACACCATTTCGGACAAATGGCTGTCCAGTCTCTTCTTAAAAACTTCCAGTGTTGGAGCATTTACTGCTTCTGGAGGCAGGCTGTTCCACTGATTAATTGTTCTCACTGTCAGGAAGTTTCTCCTTAGTTCTAGGTTGCTTCTCTCCTTGATTAGTTTTCCACCCGTTGCTTCTTGTCCTGCCTTCAGGTGCTTTGGAAAATAGCTTACTTCCCTCTTCTTTATGGCAGCCCCTGAGATATTGGAACACTGCTATCATGTCCCCCCTTGTCCTTCTCTTCGTTAAACTAGACATACCCAATTCTCGCAACCGTTCCTTATATGTTTTAGCCTCCAGTCCCCTAATCATCTTTGTTGCTCTTCTCTGTACTCTTTCTAGAGTCTCAACATCTTTTTTACATCGTGGTGACCAAAACTGGATGCAGTATTCCAAGTGTGGCCTTACCAAGGCATTGAAGAGTGGTATTAATACTTCACCGTGATCTTGATTCTATCCCTCTGTTAATGCAGCCTAGCACTGTGTTGGCCTTTTTGGCAGCTGCCGCACACTGCTGGCTCATATTTAAGTGATTGTCTACTAGGACTCCGAGGTCCCTCTCACAGTTACTACTATTGAGCATGGTGCCACCTATGCTGTACTTGTGCATTTGGTTTTTCTTGCCTAAATGTAGAACCTTGCTTTTTTCACCATTGAATTTCATTTTGTTAGTTAGTGCCCAGTGTTCAAGTCTGTCCAGATCCTTCTGTATCTGAAGCCTGTCTTCTGGAGTGTTGGCTATTCCTGCCAGCTTGGTGTCATCTGCAAATTTGATGAGTTCCCCATCTATCCCTTCATCCAAATCATTGATGACATGTTTTTTTTGACACTTCAAAGATTTTGTTCCTGCATGTTATTTCTCAGAATTGTTTTTGGACTACCAACAGAAAATAATATTTTCAGGTCAAATTGCTGAACTAATTCAGTGTTTTTCAAATACCGGCCTCCAAATATGGCTACTGAACAAACTGGTTAATTTTATGGTTAGCTACAATGCTTCTACAGAAACTTCAGATGCTGAAAAACCACAGTGGAAGACCAGTATCTTCATTGGTTGCTAGTAGATACTTCAAAATTATTTGATGACCAATCTTGGAAATAGGATATCAGATTAGAGACATCCTCAATCTGATCCAGCAGGTTTTTTATGTTTTGAAAAAAAAGACATAACTATTTTCCTTTCCAGAGCAACCTTATCTACAGTATATCCCATAACAACCCAAAAGCACTGGCAGCCAAATGCAAAATAAAATGTTAGTGAAAAATTGGTTTTGCCCATAATATTTAATTTGAAGAGCTCAAGTTTTTTACATCTCAAAGCTCCTTTCACAGCATGTTTTTTATTGTATTTCTTAAAAATATGCAGAGATAGCTCCATGTTCAGCTGTCATAATATAAACAGGATTCCATCAATAAACATATCTGATTATCTCATAGTAGATTTTCCTTGATAGACAATAGTATCACATATGGGCAGAATACCACCATTTATAACAATCAAAAATTAGATTACTTTATTATCCCTGAAGTGCTTTTTACTTTTTATTTATTCAATTTATATTCCACCTTCCCTTCAGAAGCTCATAGTGGCTTGCTTATGTGCAATTCTTCATTTCATCTGCAGTCATTGTGTGAAATAGGTTGGACTGGGAATGAGTGATTAGCTGAAAGTTATCCAGTGAATTTCCATATTTAAAGATGCATTTGATCCTGAATATTCCCAGACCACACCCTATACTTCATCTTCTATAATATCATACTTCTTCTCCTTTAATCTTATCCCCAGACAATTTTTACCAAAGGCACTTACCATGGTCATGGGCAAACACGAAAAAGTTGATTCCTGTCAGCATCTTGGCCAAGTCATCATAGCGACAGCAGTGTTCTCCAGCACCATGAACAACAAACACCAGGCCCCTAAAGAAAGCATTAACACAAAAAACATAAAGGTAGCACCTAGGAAACATCAAACAGGCTATGGTTATTTACATGTCCTGGTTTAATCTTCAGAATGAACATGCTAGATGTTTCTTGGCTCTGCAGTCCAACCATCCAGAAGACAAGCAAACCCTCCACCACCTGTTAATCTAAGAATCTCTTCTAGATGCCCTCATATAGAACTGACAGAAACAAGAGTTTTTGGTAATACCTCTTTTTTCTCTGAATGCCTGCTTTGTAGAAGCTAATTTGGAAATTATACTGATATATTTAAGGAATCAAGTCAAAACTTACTTTACTTTCTCTTCAAATTTAAAATCAATCATAATTTTTCTTTTAACGTTTATAGTGGTGTTATTTTTAATGTTTTATATTGTTAACTGCTCTAATCACTCTCAGATTAAAAGGTGTGGGATGTAAATAAAGAAACAAAGTGTACTGGCTTAGGGGATAGAGCAAACTAAACAGCTAGGCGAATGAATCCAATTTACTCTGTGGCAGGAGATGCAGAACAGTGACTAACTAATATACCTTTCTTGCCTACAAAGACACCAAATGAAATCCATAGTCCTTTCATTACCTTCTGCTTGGAACTTACTTATTATAACACATTTATAAATAATGTTATGTATTATTGAAACAGCTTTTATGTGCTTCATTAAAAAAGTATCTACAATAAATTATACAGCACCTCTCATTAATATATAGAATCATAATATAACATCATTAACAGCTCCCACAATGTTCTTAGTTCTCTATACAAATCCTCCAAATGCCTATTTAAATAATCAAGTTTTGACTGAACTTCTAAAGAATCGCAGTGAAGAAGTAGGTCCAGCAGAGTATTATGGTTCAGTAGCATATCTTCCATTTAGAAATTGTATAATGTGTAAGTGTGACATCAGATCATTGATGGCCTATCATTGCTTTAGTGGGAATAGTCAGGTCTGCAGAATATGATGTATTTGTATATTATTTTTTTAAGCAATCCAAACACAGTTGGGAAGAAAGTCCACCAAGCAGTTCTGTTTTTCAGACCACCCAACTTCCAGGTAAGAAACCCAATATATCTGAAGTGTACCAGATTGGGAAGTTTGTACTAGGACCACAATTCTGTTCTTTAGGACCTCGTTCTATTGTTTATTTTCAACCGCAGATACTGCTAGCAAGATTCTTCAGCTATACTCCAAGAAGAAACCGGAGCAGAAAATATCGTATGTAGGGCTTTTCCTGAATATGCTGTAATCAAAGTAAGTGTACAAAAGTCTCTTGGGAATATCTGAGCTGAGGTAATTTCTACATGTTTGAAAACAGGTTCTGCATGTATAACCTGCAGCTGCTACTACAAAATGGATTACCACACCCACTGGTCACTGACATGCAGTTGGTAAATCCTTTCAACTGCAATTTGGTGCACACTGGGTTGAAAATGAGTTCTAATGAATCCAATTTGGAAAATGGGTTTCATGACAATCTAGTAACCCGATTACAGCAGTGTAACAAAAACTGAAAGAAAATAAATGACCTGTCCTTAGCTCACATAGATGGCAAATATGATGAACTGTGGGGTCACATTCTCCCTTGCTGAAAGCTTGGGTGAACTGTTAGGTTTTCATGTTTCTTCTAAAAAGCAATATATTTTTATTGCCCTTAGAACAGATTTAAAGTAAGATTGCCTAATATTGCTAAGTATTGGTAAGAATTTGTCAGAGAATTGTTAAGTGGAGAGTCAAAAGTTTCTTTCAATCTATTAGTCTATCAAAATTATTAATATTGAAATTACTATTGTTTTGGTTGAGAACCAATTCAATATTAAGAGAGCCATGTAAAAATGTATCCATGAGGTACCGGCTTTAATAGGTAATAATTAGAAATAGACAAACATGGTCTTTCAAAATTCTCCCCATATTTTTGAGCAGAGAAATTATGTGGATGATTTCTCAGAATGTATCCAGGAAAATGGAGAAATTTTATAAGCGGTATCAAGGAAGTAACTCCCTCAGTAGTGACAACACCACCAACTATTAAAAAAAATTTATAAGACTAGTTCCTTGTGACATATTTCCTTGGAGCCTAATAACAGCAAAAGGAGTCTGACATCTATAGACAACTGGAAAAATTATTCTGCACTGAAAACCAAGATACACACTTCTTGGCACTTCATCACTAAAAAAGAGCAAGAACATCATATTAAATTGAACTGTTAAATTGTCCCATAGCAAATTGTCCCATGGCAAGTTGTCCCCGTGGCAAGTTGTCCCATGGCAAGTTTGCTGCGGCAAGTTGGCCGCAGCGAGTTGGCTGTGGCAAGTTGTCTCATTCTACACTATAATAGTACCATCACTCTCCAGCAATGCACAGCTAGAAGCCTTTAACCTTCCTCAACAAATGCTTTTGGCCTATCCAATTTCCAAGTTTGGGATAGTTCAAATGGAATATGGAAAGAACCAACTTTTTTCTTCCCTCATTCTTTTTACCACTCTCCCAGCATCAGGCATACAAAACCAAGATCCTGGTGAATCTACAAATTTTTGGTGATTCTTTTAGCCACAAATTTCACTCTTCTTTTTTTCCCATGTAAAAATCCCTAAGTTGTTGAAGTAATTAATTAGTAAATGGCATATTGCACTTATTATATAAAAATAACCTGTTATTTTTTTTGTTATTCCCAAAACTACTGTCGATCCATTTCTCAAGTTCCAGTGTTATGAGTACTCTAGAAAAATATTTTGGAATTCTACCTCTATATCCCAAGGTTATATAGGAAAGGCCATTATACCTTGGGTGGGGAGCATATTGTCATAGAAAATAAGGAAGATGATATTGATAGATGTAGGTGAGATACAGTATCAAAGGAAAGCGTATCTTAAGTCTAAAATAAGCAGATAAGTGACTGACCTCCTTAATTCACATGGGTATAAGAAGGGGAAACAGTACAGCACAGACTTGCAAGATTCTATTATTATAACCTGTATAAGTAAAGGTAGCATTAGCCTTCCTATGGAATTGATTTCCTACTTTCATCTTCCTAATGGGGCAGAGAGGTGGCCACAATCTGCTTCAATATGTGAGGCTGACACTAGTAACCTCACAGAGATGAAGTAATTTGTTTTATTGAGGCATTTGAAGTCCTTCCTATAGCTTCTCTACATCCAGCCTTTCTGCAAGATAGTACTAAAGTATTGTTATGCAATTCAGGATCAGCCTTAAAGTATGCTAGCTTAAAGAAGTGCTGATAGTTCTTCCAGCTCCTTTTCTCCTTCTGTCCCAAATCATGTAAGAATTCTATCCATACAAGGGGAGATGAAAGAGAGGTAAGGTAAGAATACCATCAAGGGTAGCGTGCACTGTTAGCAGAAGACTTGAATCTTCTCTTGTCAATTTCAGCTGACAGAGTAGTATGATAGAATAGTGACGGGAAGTTAAACTCTCAGCCATCTTCTAGCCAACCGACCTGTCACTTGGACTATTCTGGACAAAAATTACCAGTCATACAGAAGACTAATATACTGTTCTGCAGTTTTTCCGGTACTTTTGGTTAGCAAAGGAAATGAAAGAACCCTTTTCAATTTCATTCCCCCCCCCCAGTGCATTATCTCAGGCTATAAATATTGCAAAGAAATGCTGGTACCAAGTGGCAAAGCATCTGGAAGCTTTGCATGGGTTAGGGAAAAAATGGCATTACAGGAGTCATAATGGCATTGCCACACTTCATCTATGTGGGATTAGTACCCACATAGTATTAGTTCCCATGTATAGTGTTAGTACCACTTTATAAATACTTAGTAAGACCACATCTGGAATACTGCATCCAGTTTTGGTCACCACATTACAAAAAAAATGTTGAGACTTTGGAAAAAGTGCAAAAAAAGAGCAACTAAAATGATTAATAGCCTGGAGATTAAAACATGAAGAATGATTGCATGATTGGCCAGTCTAGAGAAAAGAAGGATTAGTGGGGGGGGGGGACATGATAGCAGTATTCCAGTATTTGAGAGGCTGCCACAAGGAGGAGGGGGTCAATTTATTTTCCAAAGCACAGAGGGCAGGACAACAAACAATAGATGGAAACTAATCAAGGAAAGAAGCAACCTGGAATTAAGAAAAAACTGCCTAACAGTGAGGATAAATTAACCAGTGGAACATATTGCCGTCAGAAGTTGTGGGTGCTTTATCACTGGAGGTTTTTAAGAAGAGACTGGGCAGTCACTTGTCTGAAATGATATAAGGTCTCCTGCTTGAGCAGGTGGCTGGACTAGAAAACCTCTAAGGTCCCTTCCAGCTCTATTCTGATTGATTGGAGAAACACAGGAGGTCTGATTATTTTGAAATACCTCTTTCTGGACAGAGTTGTATCTACTCAAATTGGGATGTCCCTTTGTAGGATAAGAGGTAGGGACAAGCAAGTGAAAGTACAACTGCTCAGTAGTTGAATTTTTATTTTATTCACATCTTTGTTAAAGATTTCTAAAAGAACATAAAAACTAACACGAACTAACGTAAAGCAAGAAAAAAGAAATCAAAAAGAGGTTTCGCAAGAAGGGAAAAAGAAAGTAAAGAAAACAAAAAAGAAAAAATGGCTTGCAATTTTTTTTACAGCAGTTATAATTAATTATAAGTTTACCTATTACTCTATGATTACAACACACCTCTCTTCTTTGTATAATCTATCCTGTTTAATCATGAAAATAATGCTTTCCAAACATTCTTAATCAGTGCCTTTACTAAATTATTTTGAAAAAAATATTTTGATTTTTTTTACAATCATTCACTATTGTTTCTTCCTGTAGCAAAATTCTGCTCGTCTTCATCTAAAAAATTATTTTTTGTCAAATAAATATGATTATGATCTGAAAAAGTATTTGGTAATATCTTTCCTTTGAAATCTTAGTGGCCAAATTCTTTGAAATCCAAATAATATCAATTCTTGAAAAAGGTCTACATCTTTCAGAAAAGTAAGTATATTTTCTTAAATCACA